TCACAAGGTTTTTGACATTCAAGAATGCCAGCGACTTCTCAATACAAGAGAAAATCAATTGGAAGTAGCCTTTCCCATGGTTAGCAATGCTCGTTGCAACTAATGGAAGTTCTGCAATTTCTTGCCCAACAACTCGAATTATTCCAACTAATACAATGAATGAGTTGATTGTCAATACTGCACAATGCATTGCCCCATATTCTTGACCTTTTAAATTCTTTCTGAGAAAGGGAAAGAAAGATAGCCATAAACGATGCATGGGATAAGGTCATGCCCAATTGTTGCATCAAAGATCTTATGTGAAACTGACATGGAATCAATATAATAATGAAGAGTTGAATTTTGCAATAATTTGTTTCAAATAACAAGACCCAAATCTCAAATCTTAACAAAAAGAACAAGCCCCTCGTCTTACTTATACACAGATCAAATCAACATCAATATAGTAGATCAATTAAGGATCTTAACTTCTCATTTGAAAATTGAACATCACTTGTAAACAATATTTAGGCAATGCTAAGAAAAAAAGTCAACATGTTAACCAAATGAAAAACTTGAATATTACAAAATCATCAAACAGTTAAATCCAACTAGCATTAACAAACCATTTTGTCCTTGATTTCAATTTTAAGGTGCACTTGAATCCTACATTAATAAAAGTATTCACATCATCCATATTTGTAATAAGATAAAAAAGAATTAGTTAAAAAAATTTATTCTTTTAAATTTTAAAATAACTTAATTAACATGTTTGAACAAAGAAAAAAATAGGTAGAATTATAAGAGTAGTGAATTACTTAATTGGCATAAATAGACTTAACATTTTTAGTAGCATTAAGATCTAACATTATCTCTTCACTAGGACACCTTCAAAAAAATTAAAGGAAAAAGTTATAAAATACTAAAGTTGTCTAAAAAGAAACTACTTAGCACTTAAAAACCATACTAGATTAATTAAAAAAAAAACTATACTAGATTTCAGAATACGAGACATTACCTTGATTGTTTTAATAATAGACAAGTATGTTTTGTATGACCTTTATGTTTGCAAAATGAACATTTCTTTGAACTTTTTTTTGCTCTAAAGCTCCTTTCATTCTTAGAGATCGAGGACGTTATTTTGTAGTCTCATGAGGAGGACTAAACAATGTTATATCATGACTCAGAAGATGTGACTCATGATCTTTTGAATCAACATCTTCGTGATCATTCTTGCTTGTCAAAACATTGGTGCTACTAATCTTGTCATCTTCAATCTTCAAGACATCAAGCCCTTCAAATAATCGTTGTAAACTTCCAATGGCCACACCATAATGTTTTTAAGATCTTGACGCTTTTTCTGAAAGCTCCAAAGAATGAACCATGACACTCTTACACAACATCATTGAAGACTTTAAAGCATTATTTTCAAGCTGCTCATCCAAGATGTTTTCGACTTTTCCTCTTTTAGCATATCTTATCTACAGATTTAAAATGTAATGGTTAGGTAATGAGTGCACCTTTTCCTTAATGAGAATTGTCAATTAATGCCTACAAAGGATGTCTACAAACTCAAACATGTGACATGAACAAGTTGTAGCTATTAATGAGCCAACAAATGTCACAATATATTTTAGTTTCTCTTTGCTAATCTCATGCACTCTATATTTGTATACATCATCATTTGCAATGATCTTTTCAGCAACATACTGTTGAAAATGAATCAACTCATTTTGAAATTTTTTGAACATCTTTCTTGTGTATGTCTTTAAAGCTTCTTTCTCTATTGGAATGTCTTCAAAATTGGCTTTGAATTCATTGTTTTGAAACTTTTTTCATTTTCTTATTATATCTTGCATCAAGGGCCTTCTCATATTGAATCACAAACTTACTCATTGGTGTGCTCGAATTCTTTGAAATACCTGTTCATAGTTTCATTTATCTGAGTAATAGACATTTCAACACATAAGCAAGAATTCATTTTTCTCAAATCGCATACAACTTTTTTAACCAATTATTTTCCTACAAATTGTATTTCTTAATTATTTTCGTCTATTCTGATTCAAACTCATCTGGAACTAATGCATAATGAATACACAGAAAAATTCTATTCTTGAAATCATCAAATTGATGGTAAACGTGATTGAGATTCTTTAAAAGTCTTTTTTAGTGTTCTACATGTAGTAATGATGTATAGTATTCGACAAAACTTTTGCAATTGCATCAGTTATGGTTGCATCTTGATCCGTAATAATTGTTTTTAGAGGATGTCCAAACATTGCTTCTAAACAAATATTTAATAACCAAACAAATGTGTTTTCTGTCTCATCCCAGAATAAAGCACAACTTAATAAATTGGATTGGTGGTGGTGATTAACTCTAATAAAAGGAACAAATGGCATTTTATACCTGTTTGTTATATAGGTTGGTTCAAAAGCCATAACATTATCAAAATACTTATAAGCCACTTTCGACCTAGAATTAGCCTAAAACAATTCGCTAGTTGATCTTCTGCATTCATTTGTATTGCATAAAAAATCTTGGATTCTTGGCTTGATATTCTTTAAAGTAAGTAAACATTAACTGTGCATCTCCCTTATCAAGCTGTATTTGTCTTCTATTGCTCAAATAATTTTGAACATTAAACTCAGTTAAACCAACTATATCAATGCCACTCGATTCATTAGATAAAATGGACATGATTTTACTAGGATGAATTCTTGAATCATCAAGCACATTAATCAAATTCCATTGAGTTTTTGTCCTTTTTCTATGAACACATAAAAATTGATCACTTTTTGGAGTAGCAAGCTCATGAGTATGATCTTTTATGAATCTAGAAATTAACCATTTCTCTTTAGCTTTCTTGGAAACATAAATCATGGCTTGGCATCCAACTCTTATCTCGTCAAGTGGTGCATGAATTTTATCTTCCCTCTCAAGATATTTTTTTGCCCGATAACCTTCCTTCAAACAAACAAATTCTTATATGATGATCGCTTGGGTTTTTCAAGATTTCATTATGTGATGTTTACAAATTCCGAATCCTTTACGCTTAGCATACTTAGTATAGTACTCTAAAGCCTCTTCCAATGATTGAAACTCCATTACAACAAATGGCTCTAAAAACTCTTGATTATTTAATCTCTCATTCTTATGTACATCATGATTCTTCCCACTCAAATCTAATATATTTTCACAATCATAATCTTAATCAATCCCATCAACATGGAATCCTTCATCAGCATGAGTTGTCATTATGAACTTGTAACAAAAATTTAAGATTATATTTTAAGTAAAATTAAACCCAATCTCCACTAACAACCATAAAGTTCATTCCATGTTCAAAAATTCTAGTCTAAACTTTATAAATTCTCTAAAAGTTAAAATAACAATTTCTTGAAAGAACATGCTTGCATAGCATAAACAAAATTCCAAGACTAAAATGTCAACAAATTGAAATGCAATTTAATGTCTATCTTAAACTATTGGTGAAAAATAAAGCCATTTTAAATTCCATAAACATGATCAACGTTGTAATATTTATATAAAAACAAAGATCATCTCTTCATAATAAGGGGTACTTCCTTAAACATATGGATTTTGAATTCAAATGTTCAAAGTAATTTACATTTTGTTCCATAGTGATCTATAGAACAACCAAAGTAATTATATTTGAATAAGTATGTACAAAAAAAAAAGGTAAACAAAGAAAAAGAAAAAAATATTTTAAAGTAATTAAAAGAAAAATGCCAAAGAGAAAAATATTTTGCAAATTCAAGAGGTGGGTTATATCTATTGGGAAACCAAAATTTGTGTCCAACGAATGGTCCAAGAAAGGTAATGAGTATTTATGTTAGTATATTATGGGTCTCTTTCTAAGAAGATGCCTAGAAAACAACCAGCATGTGGAATTATTTTGCTAGTGTTTATATGATAGAGATAGCATACAAGTCGTGATTCCATAATTAATTGGTAAAATTGCGGTCCACCCACGATTAAGATCAACATCACTATGAAAACTAAATACATAATGTGGATTTTTTTGGTCCCATTGGGGGCTACTTCTTCGCATGTCGCTTCTTTTCTTTTTTCTTTTGTTAGATTCAAATTGATCTTGTTCTATATGCCCATACTTGACTTCCAATACGAATTATTAACTTTCTTTTTCTTTTTTGTTGATTTCAAGATTCTTAAATATTCATTATCAATAAGGATTCATAATCAATATTTAGAAATTTTATATCAACATTAGTGTCATGTCAATATTATGCGTACATAAAATAATAAGTGATATTTTTGATTAATAGAAATTAATCAAATATTAATTATAAGCGTATGAAAAAATAACAACTTAGTTGAATGTAATAAAAGAATAATAACTTATTTAAATTTTTTTAAAATAATTTAGAAGATTTTAAAGTATTATACTTTGAATTATTGACGTAACTAATAAGATGACTTATATATATATATATATATATATATAATTTCAAGTCTTAAAAGGAAAATATGACATTTGGAGCTGTAAGGATAAAAATGATGTTTGGGTTAAGATTTAGTAAAGAAGGTTATGATTTACTCTAAAAAAATAACAAAACTTTAGAGAGATTAATGCCATCAAGATCAACTTCGATTAGATTAGATAAGTCTTTATCTTTCTCGAAAAGAAAGTTAAAAGATATTATTTATTTATTTATTTATTTTTAAATTTTTTAAAATTATATTTCTTTTATACTTAAAATTTTTACTTTTAGTTTAACTCAAAATTAATTTTCATGATTTATTTTTATTTTTTGATATTAGAAATAATGAAATATACTAGTTTTATAAAAGAGATTAAAAATTAAAAATTGGAAGCTTTTTTATGAGCCCAAGTAAGTGAGGCTTGGGCTGGCGGGGCACAAAAGTAGTAATAGTGCAAACAAAAAGGGGAACATGATTGAGGAGCCAGAAAGGCCCAATAGGAAACGACGCCGTTGCAGGTTGTGCTGATTAAGTCTGGCTTCCTTATCGATGTCGTCGCTCTGTGGCTTGCAATCCCTGGCAGTAGAGTTTCTTCTGTGTACTACTGATTAGGGTTTCGGGACAGGAAAGGATGAAGGGGATGTGATGGTGTTGGCACAAGTGTAAATAAGAGTGAAAGAGAGGGGGCAAATAGCAATAATAACAATAGTAAATGGAAAGCTTGGAATCGGAAGAACCAGAGAAGAAGAGGCCTCACTTGGATTCTCCCACCATGGCCCGTAACTCCTCTACTGCTCCGCACCATACCAAAGTCGTAATCTCTCTCTCAAAATTCTTTCTTTATTTTATACTGGCTCTTTAGTTTCCTAATCAAATTAAAAGTTTCGCATGATTTTCTATTTTCTATTTGCTTTTTTTTGTTCTGTTAATTCTAGAATTAATGACAAAATTGAAAATTTGAATCTTGGGATATTGTTTTCCTCAGCTTATAAATTAGAACGTTACCCCATATTTGTAACTGCTATAATCTCAGGGTTAATCTTCAAACTTTCAATTTGGAATGCTTTCTCTATATCATCTAGAAAGTATTGCAAGATGAGGGTAAATTAGTTTCACCTTTTCAATATTTGGACCAATTTGTGATTCAATTGAATTGATAATGGTGGATACCAAGTAGTGTGCAGTAATTCTGCATTCCCCGGTCCCTCTGGGCCTATAATAGTAGAAAAAAAGGGCTCTTCCTCTTACTGACTTACCCCTAATCAGTATGGCATTGATATGCTTTTGTTTGTGCAGACATGGAGAGGTAGGGTAATGTAGGGAAATTAAAAATTTATACTTTTTCTTCTTCTTCACTGAAGTGGCCCTCCAGGGTTATTTAGTTGTGAAGTAGTTTGCAATAATGATGGCTTCCCTGTGGCTGCAACATCATTGCTGTATGTGTGAATGGATACATTGTTAATTACTGAAATATGATGCACTCATCATCTTGACTTACTGGAGTTGCTTGTACACATCTACTTCAGATGTTAAAACTTTTTCCTAATTGTTAATTATTTGGTGGTCTCTTTTCTGATTCAAACTGTTCCTACATTTCTTATGAATCAGTTCATTAAGTATCTGATTATGCATGCTTTTCAAAAGAAGCACTGATTATACACATGGGCACCATTTGTCTGGAACCGATTTGCTGGTGTTGGAAAGCTAAGCCCTTTGTATAAACTAGTTTAATCTCAGGCACAGCTGTATGCAAGTGGAGATGTACTGTCTCCTGCTGCCCTCTGATTGAATGTATCTTTCTCTTTTAAGCATGCTTTGATTTTTAATTTGCTGCCTTACTATCACTATGATATTGCTACACACATCTAAAGTGTGAGGTTGGTGAACACGTCAAGCAAATGCTTTGATTTTTTTTCTGCCACCTTAGTATCACTATGATATTGCTATATACACCCTAATGTCTAAGGTTGGTGAACATGTCAAGAAAATCAATTTGTGATTTCATTTGTGTGTGTGCAAGTGTGGATTTGATTTTTTTCTCTTATAAATATCACTTGATGTAAAGGGATTTTTTTTTCTCCAGGTTGACGCAGCAGTTCTCCAGTACCAAAATCAAAAACTTGTCCAACAATTAGAAAGTCGGAAAAATGAGTTGCTTCATCTTGAAATCAGGATTAAAGAATTAGAAGACAAGCAAGCCTCTTATGATGATACGCTGATAAGTGTGAATCAACTTTGGAATCAGGTACTTTTGTGTGGCACTCTTTTACTGCTATATATTTGTGATCGTCATCATTTGTATTTTTTTAATGCTTTGGTGTTATTCTGCTGTATAGTTGGTTGATGATTTGATCCTTCTTGGTGTACAAGCTGGAGGAGGCCATAATGCTTTAGAAAGCTTGGACCGTGCAGACACTTCTCGAGGTTTGAATCAGGACTTTAATTGTTTTCTTAAGATTTGTTTTTGCCTGTTTTTGGGAGTTGGGAGAGGCAGTCCTAAGTCTTTTAAATTATTACTACAGTCAAGTGTAATTCCTCTCATATTTAAAATAGATTAACTTGAGTTACTCTTTAGGTTCTATTCCGTCATGCCCTATGGAGGAGATGTTTCTTTGCAGGCTTCTGGAAACAGATTCTATTGACAGTATTGGCAATGATGCGATTGTAAATTATGTTGAAAAAGTCCTATCTTCACGTCATTCATTCACTAGCGAGTTGATAAAATCTCTGGAGGATACCATTGCGGCTGAGAGGGTGAAAACTGAGAGCATGGCTCTTGCTTTGCAGGGAAAATTATCTGTTGAAGGTTAGATGATATCTCTATTTCTTTTCTTTTTAGTAATTTTCATTCCTCGTATGTTTTCCATGATATTTTCTGCTATTTCTTTGCTATTTAGTACTTCTGTCTAAAGTTGTATATTGATTATCATTACATATTGCATTTTTCAGACAACATCATGCAGCTTTCCAAGATTGATGATATATTTAAAGAGGAGGCTAAAAATTTGCGAGAGGTGATTGATACTCTACACTTGAAGCGTAAAGAACATGCTGATAGGATTCAAACATATATAAGCAGCCATTCAACTGACCAATCTGAGATTAAACGTCTTCGAGGTCTCTGCTCTAATTCCTTTAGAGGATACTTGTTTTTTATACACTATTAATTGGATATAGATGCATGCAATCACTTCCAAACACTTACACATGCAATTCTCAATAGCAAATTTGATACCAACAGAATCACTGTATGCTGGCAACCTGGCAGATTTTTAGCCAGCACCGAAATTGTCTGTTTGTTCTTTTGTGTCATCTCTTGTTTGTTTATTGAAGTTGTAAATTGTTTATCAATACTGAAAGGTGAGCTGGAAGAAATAATGGCTGAACTAGAAGAGAGCAGAAGAAAACTAGTCAGTCTCAAAATGCAGAAGAATTTAGCATCTGGGATGCATGCATCAACTCCATTTGCAGTGAATGGTAGCTTGTCACCAGAAAAGCCTGCAGATAAGATAATGGGCCTGCGGGAGATAAAGGATTCCATTGAGGAGACAAAGGTATTGATTTACATAATAGAGTTTTTCTCAACCTCTCTTCCTTTGTTTGACTAATCTTGTAGGATATGTTACTAAACAAGTGTTGCAGATAGTGGCAGCAGATCGGCTTTCTGAACTGCAAGATGCGCGGGGAGAGATCCTACACCATTCAGAACAACTGCAAGATCTTCAGGTTTGCTTAGATTGTTGACCTCTAAAAGTTGATTTTCTTGTTAGTTCAAATGCCTGTTTGAACAACACTATGTGTTCCGGTAATTTAACTTATAGGACTTTATTCTCTCAGAGTGAACTGAAGGATGAAAAATTCGTACAATCCTCTCGACTTTACATGTTGTTAAGTGATCAGCTCCAGCATTGGAATGCTGAAGTGGAACAATACAAAGCACTGACTGATGCTCTGCAGGTTAAGCTGCTTGTTTTACTGTTTCACATGCTTTAAATGTTTGAGTACCTTTGGTCTGTTTTGAAAGTATAATTTCAGACTGACAGGTTTCTTGTCATGAGGAGGGAGAAGGAACTGAATTTAAAAGCTGAGTCAGCAGATGCTGCTAGGAATATAATTGATAATGCTGATTCTAGAATTGAAGAGCTGGAGTTGCAGCTCCAGAAGTGTGTCATGGAAAGAAATGATCTTGAGATTAAAATGGAAGAAGCTATCCAGGATGCAGGTAAAGTTAATACATTGGAATAATACATCTTTTATATTAAAGTTTAAAGCGGGACATGGTGGATCTTCTGGATTATTGAAATGTTACCTTTTCTCAGGGAGAAATGATATTAAAGCAGAATTTCGTGTAATGGCGTCAGCTCTGTCCAAGGAAATGGGAATGATGGAAGCTCAATTGAACCGCTGGAAGGAGACTGCACATGAAGCGATTTCCTTGCGTGAGGAAGCCCAAACGCTAAAAGATGTGTTAAGTGATAAGGTTTTATCTCATCCTTATTTGTTCTTTTGTGGGGAATAAAAATTTGAAAGAAGCCATATATAGATGAAAAGAACATAAATTGTTGTTTTTCATATTCTTGCGATTATATGTAGAAGTGGAAGTTGTTCAATAACTTGAGATGAAATGTTGGGTTACTTTTGTACCAAGTAGTGGAACTTTATAGTTTGATAGAATAATCATATTTGATCTTAAAGTGAATGTCTCTATGTTTTACACAGTAATGTAGTCTTTGATATTTTATTCTTCGATCAATTTCATGTGCGTGCTTGATTTAAGGTTCCATTTGTTTTAGTGAAATTGACTTTTGGAAGTCATATATTAACAATTTTACTTAAATATAGAAATTATTAGGAAAAGAAGAAAAAACCGAGATAGATTATTATGGATTTGGTTTGACTTGGTTTTTTAATTAATTTGTTGTTCGAATTACTCTTTCCTAATATTTCATAATGATTGGTTTGGGTGTTGTCATGGTGATGTAAAAAATATTGAGATATTGGAGTTGGGATTATATATGGATAACCCATTTTGAAGATAGTGTTAAGATTTGTACATGTTTTGGGATTATTGTTGTTGAGATAACTTAATAATAACACTAAATTTGAAAGTTGAAAATATTTTTCGTAGTGTTATCTAAACAACATAAAATATTTTTCACAATCTCTTACAAAAAACAGAATATTAATATTTCAAGAAAATGTTCTGTTTTCTGCTAGTCAATTTCTGTGAAACAAATGGAGCCTTAAGTTTTATTTGGTTATTAAGCAATAAGTTTGAAGAAATTGTGATCCTTGTGTATTTCTGTAAATTTATTGAATAGAATGAAGAAAATAGTTATAATATTTGAGTTTTGGATGTTTTCTGGAACTTATTGGGTTCCTCTCATCTAAAATTTAGGCATATTGGCAGCCCAGGTCTTTTCAATCTCTAATCCATAAACTTTTGTCTAAAAATTTCCAATAGACAAACCAACAAAAGCGCTTGGCAGAGCAGTGTGCTGAACAGATTGTGGAAATCAAATCTCTTAAGGGTCTGGTGAGTATGAATTTTGAAATATGAGGATTTTGCTTTGTCTTTCTTCATAGTTTCTGTTTTTGTCCCATACGGTGCACATTCATAGGCAAAACTATTCAAACTATAATATCTTCAAAACTCTTATGCATATGACTTAACTGATACTCATCGCTGAAGAATATTTTCTTGATGCAGATTGAGAAATTGCAGAAGGAAAAATTGGAGCTGCAAATCTTCTTGGACATGTGCGGCCAAGAAGGCTATGATAATAGGTATGTTGATATGAGGAGACTTTCTCGAAACGCATGCACACACACATAAAAAAAGAGAAAAGGGAATAACGAAAAGAATAATTTTCTTTTTTAATTCTATCCCATGCAAGCTGTAGAATCTTTTTTAAAATCTTCACCTGACTTGCTTCTTGTGTAAATTCTGTCCTACATCATTACTACTTTGTGCATTTTTTGTGGTCTATCATACTTGAAGTGAAACAAGTCTATGATTTATTCTCTTGATATTCAGAAGCTTAATGACTGTTCGCTAATAAAGGAACAGGATATCTGTGTGACTTCTAATTGTGCCTAAGACATAGTAACGCCCTTGCAAAGCTGAAACTTCAAAATTTTTAAAGTTGAGTTTGAATGTTTTAATCCCAAAATGGTAAAAGTTGCATGTCTGCAAGTTTGTTTTGTGTCATTTGTTGCTGCACTCATGTCCAGTTCCTTGTTTCTTTGCATGCAAAAGTAAAAAGCCGAAGTGATTCTGAATTTGAAGTTCAGTGGTTTAGTTGGCTTCTCTTAGATGTTGAGCTGGGAAGTATTATATAGTTTGATCTACTTAATCTATTAACGATTTGTTATGCTTTCTTCTTTGTCATTTCATTCACATATGTATTATCTAATTTAGGAATCTATGTTTCATTTCTTTATTGCTTCTACCTTTTAGTTGCTTATGGATTTTTAAAATTTTTTTTTTATCTCTAATAAATTGGGTTTCCCAACTTAAATTTCAGAGATGTGATGGAAATAAGAGAAGCAGAAAATAGAGCTCATTCACAAGCTGAAGTGTTGAAAAATGCTTTGGATGAACATAGTCTAGAACTGAGAGTGAAAGCTGCTAATGAGGCTGAGGCTGCTTGTCAAGAAAGGCTTTCTGTTGCTGAAGCTGAAATAGCTGAGTTACGAGCTAAATTGGATGCATCCGAGAGGTTTGTTCTTTTCCAGTTTAATGTTTGTTTCCAGGTGGTGTCACATGGATGTTACTTGGTTTTCAATGGAAATGATTTGACATAAAAGAAGTTCTAAAAAAATTGTGGCTAATTAGTTTCCTTTTTTTCTTTGTTGGAGTTTATTTATTTAATTCATTAAGAGAGTAGAATGTTATGGTTAGCTCTTCTGCTTTAGTTTAAATTGTATGGCCACTGAGCATCTTTTAAATCTGGGGAGATGAAGTCGTAATTAAACCAAAGCTATGCCATCATTTCATTGAGACTGCTACAATTGGTTAATTCATCTTCCTCGTCTCTTGACCTTGAGAGATGCATCTATGAAACCAGACATTAAAACCATGTTAAACTTTGCTAAACAGTACAAACTCTACAGACGGTACAATCAAAATGGTTTCTCCATCTTTAGTGTGAATTTTTTGTGTTTTACATAAGTAACAGGTGGTGGAGTTATTTAATTTAACCCTTTTTTATTGGTTTTTGTTTTCATTGATTTGTTTCCTTTCATTTCCCTAAACTTCATTTAGAGTGTTATCTAACTATTTTATCTGGTCACTAAATCCACAGGGATGTTTTGGAGCTCAAGGAGGCTATTAAAAGTAAAGATCGAGAGTCAGAGGCATACATTTCTGAAATTGAGGTGTCTTCTCAATTCCTTTCCCTTGAGAAAAATTCATTTTCTGTTTTTGCCACCCTTCAATAATTTTTACTGAATTGCTGGAGCTGCCTTTTTGCTTGTTATTCCTCTTTCCATTTTCTGCCACTTCTTTGTCCCCATGATGAAAATTCCTTTTATTTTTTCCAGACCATTGGCCAGGCATATGAAGATATGCAGACACAGAACCAGCATCTGTTGCAGCAGATGACTGAGAGGGATGACTACAATATTAAGGTCCGTTGCATGGTGTCTTCTTTTTTTTGTTTTGGTAATACTGTCAGGGGTATCTTTAGGCTTTGCCTGGGCCTAATCCCCTCCCTGGGCGATCTTAAGGGCGCACTCCCCCACATTGGTCTGGTACATTCAGGATTTTACTCTTGGAGTGCTCCCTACAAGGATCAAGCCCTGGCTGACAAGGAAAGGAGCTCCTCTCCTTATCAACTGGACTAACCCCTGTGGGTAGGTCTGTTGCATGGTTATATAGCTTGATTCGTTGACTGTATTCTTTTTAAACTTTTACATTGTCAAGTAGTTCAATTATGTTGTCTGATACTTTGGCCACTTCTTTATAATTGTGATCGTTGCAGCTTGTCTCTGAGAGTGTAAAGACAAAGCAGGCACAGAGTTTCTTTCTCTCTGAGAAGCAAATATTAGCAAGGCAAATTGAGCAGGTGAATTCATCAATTGAATCTGTAAAAATGAGGATTGCACACAGTGAGGAGCAGGTAAATTTAGTTAGTATTCTGCTGCTAAAACTTGTTTTGTAAAATTTGCCCTCTGAATATATTTGCTTGTCTATATTTTTTTATCAACATATAGTTTAAACCTTGCAGATGAAAGTTTGTCTTACAGAAGCTATTAAATCTACCCAAGAGGACAGACATTTTATGATTAGCCTTGAAACTGCTAAGTGGGAATTGGCAGATGCTGAGAAGGAGTTAAAGTGGCTTAAATCTACTGTAACATCTTCTGACAAGGATTATGAGCAGGTCCAGCGGAAGGTGGATGAATTTCAAGTGAAGTTGGATAAGGAACGGTGGGTTTTCTCTTCTTTTTTTGATGGTTTCCCAGGTTTACAGTTTTATGTCTTACCCAGCTGTATTATATCTTGGTGCAATTTGAAGAAAAAAGAGTAGTGGTATGTAGGTATGTTGTATGTCACAGCAGCATTGCTCTGCTTGGTATTTATTATAATATAACGTGGACTGGTATTAGCTTCAAAGAAAGACGTGGGGTCAGGCTTGTCATAATAATGGTCAACAATTGCTACGATAACAATGCTTTGACCTATGGCTTTACTGCATTTATACTGGAACACTTCATCTTAGGCTTTGCTAAGAATATAATTTGTCCCTCAAGACTTTAGACATTTTACCTTAATTCTTTCCCAAAGACGTACTTTCCCCCTTCATCTTTAAAATAATTTGTCTAGCTTTCCTGCAAATTAAATTTCTCTCTGACGAAATGGGGTTTTGTAAAACCCAGAAGCCAGAGGAAGAAACTTGAGGAAGAGGTCATGGAGTTGAATAGTATGGTTGCTGAGTTGAGTTCTGAAACTGGAGAGACTGCAATACAGAAGCTCCAGGATGAAATAAAAAATTGCAAGAATATTCTGAAATGTGGTGTGTGTTTTGACCGGCCAAAGGAGGTGAGCATGCTTTGCTGACCTGTTTCCTTCTATAATCCGAACTCATCATTACTACATGTATATTGTGTTTCACCTCTTCTATCTGCTTTGGATTGCACTGATGGATCTCTTCATGCTGTATATTTGGCAGGTTGTAATTGTGAAATGCTATCATCTCTTTTGCAATCCATGTATACAGAGAAATTTAGAAATACGCCATCGGAAGTGCCCTGGCTGTGGCACTGCATTTGGTCAGAATGACGTTCGGTTTGTAAAAATATGAATTAGTTAAACCATGGTTTGCACATTGATCGTGATTTAGGTTAGTCTGTCTTAGCATCTGAAAAGCAAGGATGCCTAGCGTCAGGCCTTTGGACTTGATAGTTATAGAAATAAGATTTTATTTTATATATGTAATCATTTAATCCGTGTGTATGTAAATTGCAAAGGGAAATTTAACTGGGTAAGATATAACCTTGAGAATTTTGTTCCTCGGGATCTCTGGCCCTGTGGTTGTCTTACCTGCTTTACAGGAATATTGCATTGAAAGAATGCCAAGGTCTCCTGGTGTAGATGTGATTCTAAAACGATAGAAATTTTTAAATGCCCCTTATCTTCAGAGTATAAGCACAGATGTACCACGTAGTAAAGATTTGATGGAACTTGAGAAAGCTGCCAAGTTGGATCCCTCTAAATCATATAAATGCATTCTTTATCTTAAATAAGGAATACCAAGTCTTGTATGAGATTGGCAGGCATTAGTTATACTAGTTGAACATTTTTATGTAATCAATCATTAGTTAGTGGGTGGACGAGGAGGTTTGGAGTCGAAGCAGAAGTCACCCATTGAGCTTTGGCTTAGCTGGGTGGGTTTGATGAAAAAGAAGACAGACAAAACTCAGAGATATTATTGCGGGATTCGGATAAAGATAGAAAGAGGAGAGTCAATTTCACTAGGCAGTTGACGACATATGGCAAAGCCCTCAATATATCTACAGTGGGTTCCACTCCCTCCGTTCCTTGCCTGCGTGCCTCCATTTCCATTCCTTTCTTCCGTACGATAAATACAAACTACTAACCAATTCCTACATCTGTCCTCTTATTTCTCTTGATCAAGTCATCAACTATGAAAACCCAACATCGGTTGCTGCATCTTTTGTAGAAAAACGAGAAACAAGCAGAAGAACGACATCTTTTCTAGCTTTGAAATTGCATCACACTACCTGGATAGCAATCAGCAAAGCAATCTCTCTCTCCTTGTCCAGTGAGCAGTTCAAAGGCAAAAACCCAGCCAAGAAATTCAGAAATGCTACTCTCTCTTGTACAAAGCAGCTTCGTTTCATCATCAACTTTCCACTCCAAAATTCACACCAACTTAAACCCTCTAAAGCCGTCCTTTTTACTTCCCAAAACCC